AATGCTAATTAATATGTTTTGCACAGCAGATACGAGGCGATATCCACACATCCTCGGTGGCTCTGTTTACATAAGCGTTAACTGCTCACCCGCACTATCTCGCTCTCTGTCCCACCTCTCTTTCCGTCTCCTTCCCGCGCAGTTGGAGATTATTAAATTAATTTTTATTAGGCGTCAAGCCGTAAAGAACAGCTGAGATGGATGACTGGATGGATGGATGGTTGGATGGCTGGATGGCTGGACGGACGGAGCGGAGTAGAGTGAAATGAGTGCGGGAATGAATGAATGAATGGCAAGCTCACATGACAACGCGTTATAATTAAGAACAATGGCAACTTATTCAACTTATTCCCCGTAAACCCACCGCCCGAGCGAGGGACTCGGCCATATCTCAACTGATTTGAACCGTCGTTTCGGTTCTTTTCACCGCCGCTGACACTTGACGAATTCCATCGTCGATTGCCGTGACATGTCATCGCCCGGGAATTTAATTGCAACGCCCTGAGAGCGGTACGATTTCTATAGAGCGCTGGCGAGTTGGGATTACTTGGGTTGAGTAATGGAAAATTTTTTACACTGGATTATGGATAGGTTCCGAACGGGAATAATAGCGTATGACTGTATTATATCATAGGAATATGTCATAAGTAAATATAAATGAGTTTGAGTGCTGCTTATATTTTCTGAATCATTTTTGTCAAAGCTTTATGATCCAGTGAGCGGAAATAACAATTATTTGTCCAATTTAATAAAAATCATAGTTTTATTCTTATTTTGCTTACTTAAAAACAATTTTTGTTGGGAGAAAAATAAATATTACAAAATTAATAACGAATTTTTCTTAAGCATTATTTATTTGATTAACATAATTATTTGCATTTAAGATTTATACCTCCGGTACTTCAATCATACCTGCAACAAATAACCCCAAGCATCTTCCTTATCTAAGCTCTGCTTACACAAATGTGGACAATGTTAAGCAAGGTCAGCCACCTGTTCCTCAAAAACTGCCAATTCCTTCATCAAGATCCGCAAACAACCCTGAAAGTGTAAGCAAAACAGGAAGTTCTCCATGCAGATCTTCCCAAGTGATTTGAAGAGATTTTTTCAATATCCTAATCCCTATCTATTCCATTTGGAAGCCACTCTCAAGGGTTTCCTTTCTCCATTTACCGGGGGCGTCCCTCAAAGCGGTCATTGTCTCCGGTCGAATAAAAAAGCAATTCCAATTACAAGCCAACAAAACATAACAAATGAAATTTTTCGCAACCGGCAGCTGGCGGAAAATAAAAAAATAATGTACGGGTATCTACAAAAGAATCGGTGCCCATGACTCATGTGACTGTGACCCAATGAGCAATATAAGCGCCCAGCACCCACAAGATACAGATACTCGGGCGTACACGTCTTTGGCAACCCAAGACAAGCGAAACGATTACAAAGAAAAATAATTTGCGCAAATGGAAATGAAAAAGAATCGAGAACGATCAGTCATCGTAGGGAAATATTGCCCCCAACTCCGCAAGCTATAGACTCAACTAATCTAATCAAATCAAATCAATGCTGGCGGGAACGCCCCTCATATACGGTTACGGATCGCTAGAGTACACTAAAAGGATCCCTGCACTTGGAAAAAGGTCGTACTGATTTTGAAATATAAGAAACAAAGAAAGAAAGACTGTGAAAAAATAGTTTAAATATTATGAATATTTACATACTATTTTAAGTCACTAGCTAACAATATTTAGAATGAAGAGATTTAAATATTTATCCAAAACTCCAACAAGCCTCGAACTATTTACGAAGCACCATTATAATAAAAATTCAAAATTATATCAATTTATTAAAAACCAAGCTACAGTTTTATTTTCTCAATAGTGCACTTTATTTTTCTGAGTGTTTCTTACCCATCCTGCTACATATTGTGCAATCCCTGAGTCTAAGCCAATTCTTTCTACACCCAAACACTTCCTGGCTTACACCAACTGGCCTGATCGATCGATCTAGCGATAAAGAAAATCATAAAACGAGAGAAAGAAAGAAAGGTTCAAGGCAGGAACAAACAATTGAGCGAGGATTGTAACAAAATCCTAGCCAAAGATATCGCTGCAGCACCAATCTGTTTACCTGAGGAATCAGGATAAGGACGATCTCAGGAGCTGGGGTGAGTTAAGGTGAGGACCGAAAGACGATGTTTGCACGGTCAACTTTCAACACAATTTGTAGGCTACCTGCAGTTTGCTCAGACGGAGGCTTGGGTGTGGGTTTTCCTGAGAACGGAGCACCAACGGAAAGGGAGAGATCCATCTCAAGCCGACCAGTGCCAGACCAGCCCATCCCGTACCCGTACCCGTACCCGAACCATCCCATCAGATCCCATCCAGTCCAAACAAGCTGCTTGGCTAACTGGCTGACTGATACGCATCGCTTGGGATGTGTTTGGTTAATCAGCACCTGTCGACTCAACGGGCGTCGACAGGTACAACTACAACTCGCACGGAGCGCTATATAGTATATACAGTTGCGATCGAAATAATAGCACTGCAAATCAAGGGTTTAGTTGCATCTGGAGGGGTTTTATTTGTCAGTTTGAGTGGTTATTTTAAGATAATAATATAGAAGGTTCGGCAGTCGCAGCGTTAGCCTGCAGCTCACCCTTGAGTGCCTCCGAATTAATTGGGCTTGAAGTAAATACACCGTTTGCGATAATATGTTCAACTCTTATTTATGGAGAGCTTTAAACAAAAGTATCTCAAGATGTGTGCAACTTTTATTTAACATCAAAACTTTTTCCCAATTGTTATGCAATAAGTCTTGATATATTGTAAAGCACTCTAGAGACTTTTAACTTTATGATTTTTATTTATACATATTAATTTATTAAGAATATACCATTTTACTTGAAATAACATTTTATTTTTATTATTATTTACTATTTATTATTTAGAGGCTTTCATTATGTCATATTCGAGTATGTTTTGAATTCTAAGAATTCCAGTAAAAATGGAATTAACACACTCGCTTTTATATTGAATGAGATTTTCTTTGATTAAAGAACACATGTTGAAATTATTTTTCCGAACCCAGCTGTTTGTGTGTTCTAAATAATCCAGTAGCGATCTGTTTTGCTCGGCCCAGTGTTTTGGGAAAGTTTGAAAGTGCGGTTACAACATATGGGCAGCCAGATCATGCGAAAAAAATATCAGATTCGGACTGGTACTCGGACTCGGACCCCGTCGAACTTTAAGTCGGCTCCATCTGCGGCTCAGCCACCGCCACCTCATAATGAGTAAGCCCCGAGTTCGAGATCTCCCCGACAAATCTCGATTGCCCAGCCGGTCCGGTCCGAAAGAAATACCAACAATCCGAGCCTCGACTCCAATCCCACCAACTGCTGTGGCTGCTCTCATAAATCAAGAAAAATCAGTCAATTTTTTGTGGGTTCGCGTGTGTGAGTGTGCGCCTATATCAAACTGACATTGGCTGAATTAACAATTGATTTCAATAATTTTTTATGATTATTCTCCGCTTTTTTTCGTCTCGTTTTAGGTTTTTGTGGCTGTCTGCAAGGCAAGCAAAGAAAAGCCGAAGATCAGCCACTTGCACTCGAATCCGTCGATTCAGCAGATCGTTTCTCTCCCAGTCTCTCCTCGTTTATAAAGCTGGTGTATCTCATCCGCTGAATTGGAAAAACACTCAATTGCGATGGGAACTCAACTCTCTGCTGGCGTTTTGTGGAGTAAAACTCGTCTAACCGGTGTGACGAGTGTCAATGTCTCATTGGAATTGTTTGCTCGGCTCTGACGCTCAGCGGAACCGACAGGCGGGAGCGGCGGGGAGGCCCACGGTGCCGCACAGTGGGCCCAAACGGCTAGGTGCCAGCTGTGGGTGCGAACCTGCTGGGCCGAGGAGTTTTTGTTTGAAGATCAAGGTTGTTTTAGCGTGTCAAATATTTGAGGTGTGGACTAATTCGATTTGTATTGAAAGCCTTAACACCGGAAGTCGTATAAGAAGTTTGCAGAGATCACTCCTGGGGTTCTTCATCCATGAAAAATTGCTATTGGTTTAAAAAAACAAAAAATTATCTTAGATTTTGGGATAACTATCTTAGTTTTAATTTATTTTATTTCACATAAATATTTAAACATTTAAATTGTATAAATAACATAATACTTTAACGCGAAACCAAAATACTACATTTAATATACAAGCCCCTTGGCAAAGCTCTCATTTAAATTTTACAAGATTTTTTTATTATGCCATAGATTTTGACTTATAAAAACTGTTTTTAAAAGTGTGGGAATGTAATTATTTTGATCCTAACAGTTGTACCCGTGGTATAATCTTTTAAACAAGATTTTTAATATTAAGAGGTATGTAATATTATCTCGACTGTTGCGTTCCTTGTGGATTACAGTGCCGCACTCGTTACATGTTCTCTACTTGTTTAATAATTGTCCCATCCATCTACTTCCCTAGGGAACTATTTTTATCAGATAAGCAAATCTTTAGAGATCTACCATATCGATTTACTTATTTTCTCTGCACTTATCCTTGACCCATAGGCATTGCAGAATCGGAATGCCCTCGTCTTAGGATTCCACATGTTTCTGTAGGCCAATTTCACCTGCCCATCTCCCGCGATCTCACTTCCTCACATCCCATCTGTCATTTGTTGCAAAACCCCATGCAAATTCTACCTGCACATCGAGTGCAATTCGATGCTATTTAACCCACTGTGCACTGTGGGCCATTACGTGCGATGCGTTTGCGTTTGCGTTTGGATTGCATAGTTTTGTTTACTCGATCGCATCTCGCTCTAGTTCCTTGGTTCTGTGTGCGTGCTCAATGAGTGCTCACTTACTCATTTATTCACATACTCACTCGGGCACCCAGGTACCCAGCACTCATTCATCCACTCACTCACCCCGATGAGCGCTTTTCAGCGGCACTTGCTGCTGGCCGAAACCCGGAGAGAGCGATCAGTTTTTGAGTTGACTTCGAGCCGAGCGGACGCGCGATTGTCTGTTAGCGGATGAAAGTGGAAAAAAGAAGAAATATCGCCTCGAGAAAATTTAGAACACAATTTATCAAACGCGCTATCGCACCCCCCACTTGGATTACGGTCAACGCGAAACTACAACGCAGCAATAAAGATATAGAAATCGAAAAACGAAAGCAACCAAATCAAAAGATATAAAAGAAAATATATAATAGCCAGCGGGAAGAAACAAGAAAATCGTTTTAGATAAAGCATTAAATCGGTTGAAGTGGTGTTGTGAAAAGTGGCGATTGTGCAAAGCTGCGCTATAAAACCAAACAAAAAGCAAAAAAATCCCAAATAAACACACACTCAAAATGGGCGAGAAATAGAACGAGCAGTGAAAGACCAAAAGCAGCCCCCCTATAAACCCCCGAATAGCCAAAATCGAAGCCCCATTCGAAGTTTAGGAACCATCCAAAATGCTGGCCACCACCCACATGCTGTACGTGCTGATTGCCACCTGGGTAATACCCATTTTCGGGGCCGCCCTCAGCAAGACGGTGTTGTACCAGGCTCCCGACGAGTGCCGCTGGTCCGGCGGCGGGGAGCACGACATCACCCTGGTCTGTCACCTGCGGACCATCAACTCGGAGCTGGAGAACACCAACTTCAGCGTGATCCAGCCTCAGAACACGGTTCGTCTGAGGCTGGAGTGCAACGATGCCTTGTTCTTCCAGAGCAGCCTGAGCCCGGACAGCTTCAGATCCCTGGTGGAGCTGAGGGACCTAACCATCGAGTACTGCAAGCTGGGCAACCTCACGGACGGCTCGTTCCGTGGCCTCCAGGAGCTGAGGAACCTCACCATTCGCACTCACAATGGGGATTGGTCCACCATGTCGCTGGAGATGGCCTCCAACAGTTTCGTGGAGTTCCGCCAGCTGGAGCGGCTGGACCTTAGTCTCAACAACATCTGGCTCATTCCCGATGGCATGGTGTGCCCCCTGAAGTCCCTGCAGCACCTGAATGCCTCTTACAACAAGATCCAGGACATCAGCAACTTCTACTTCAGCGCCTCGTTGAGCTCCAGGAAGGCCCGAGTCTGCGGCTCCACGCTGCAGAGTCTGGATCTGAGTGCCAACAAGATGGTCAGCCTGCCCACGGCCATGTTGTCGGCCCTGGGAAGACTCACCCACCTGAATATGGCCAAGAACAGCATGAGCTTCCTGGCGGATCGCGCCTTCGAGGGTCTCCTCTCGCTGAGGGTAGTGGATCTCTCGGCCAATCGCTTGACCTCTTTGCCACCGGAACTCTTCGCGGAGACCAAGCAACTGCAGGAGATCTACCTGAGGAACAACTCCATCAACGTCTTGGCCCCCGGAATCTTTGGTGAACTGGCCGAGCTCCTGGTTCTGGACCTGGCGAGCAACGAACTGAACTCCCAGTGGATCAATGCAGCCACCTTTGTGGGTCTCAAGCGCCTCATGATGCTCGATCTGTCGGCCAACAAGATCAGTCGCCTGGAGGCGCACATCTTTAGACCGCTGGCCAGTTTGCAGATCCTGAAGCTGGAGGAGAACTACATCGATCAGCTGCCCGGAGGAATCTTTGCGGATTTGACCAACCTGCACACCCTCATCCTTTCGCGCAATCGCATCTCGGTCATCGAGCAGCGCACTCTGCAGGGTCTGAACAATCTCCTGGTACTCTCCCTGGACTTCAACCGAATCTCCCGGCTTGACCAGAGATCCCTGATCAACTGCAGCCAGCTGCAGGATCTGCACTTGAACGACAACAAACTGCAGGCTGTGCCGGAGGCCCTGGTTCATGTGCCCCTGCTCAAAACCCTTGATGTGGGCGAGAACATGATCGGTCAGATTGAGAACACGAGCATCACGCAGCTGGAGAATCTGTACGGTCTGCGGATGACGGAGAACTCCCTCACCCACATCCGGCGAGGTGTTTTTGATCGGATGAGCTCCCTGCAAATCCTCAACCTGTCCCAGAACAAACTGAAGTCCATCGAAGCGGGTTCTCTGCAAAGGAATGGCCAACTCCAGGCCATCCGTCTGGATGGCAATCAGTTGAAGTCCATTGCTGGTCTCTTCACCGAACTGCCCAACTTGGTGTGGCTGAATATCTCTGGTAATCGTCTCGAGAAGTTCGACTACTCGCACATTCCCATCGGCCTTCAGTGGCTGGATGTGCGGGCCAACAGGATCACCCAGCTGGGAAACTACTTTGAGATCGAAAGCGAACTTAGTCTGAGCACCTTTGATGCCAGCTACAATTTGCTGACGGAGATCACGGCCAGCTCCATTCCGAATAGTGTGGAGGTGCTCTACCTGAACGACAACCAGATTTCCAAGATCCAGCCGTACACGTTCTTCAAGAAGCCCAACCTGACCAGGGTGGACTTGGTGAGGAATCGTCTGACCACCTTGGAGCCCAATGCCCTTCGTTTATCGCCCATTGCCGAGGATCGGGAGATCCCGGAGTTCTACATTGGCCACAATGCCTACGAGTGTGACTGTAACCTGGACTGGCTGCAAAAGGTGAATCGGGAGTCGCGCACTCAGCCGCAACTCATGGATCTGGACCAGATTCACTGCAGGTTGGCCTACGCCAGGGGATCCTCCCATGTCTCCCTCATCGAGGCCAAGTCGGATGACTTCCTCTGCAAATACGCCTCGCACTGCTTTGCCCTGTGCCACTGCTGTGACTTCCAGGCCTGCGACTGCAAGATGGAGTGCCCGGATAGGTGTTCCTGCTACCACGACCAGTCCTGGACCTCCAATGTCGTGGACTGCAGCCGCGCTTCCTATGAGCAGACTCTGCCTTCGCACATTCCCATGGATTCCACGCAGTTGTATCTCGATGGCAACAACTTCCGGGAGCTGCAGAGTCACGCCTTCATCGGTCGCAAGAGGTTGAAGGTGCTGCACTTGAACCACTCGCGGATCGAGCTGCTCCACAACCGCACCTTCTACGGCCTCTTGGAACTGGAGGTTCTCCAGCTGCAGAGTAACCAACTAAAAGCGCTGAATGGCAACGAATTCCAGGGATTGGACAATCTCCAGGAACTGTATCTGCAGCACAATGCCATCGCTACGATCGACACACTCACCTTCACGCACCTGTACCACCTGAAGATCCTGCGATTGGATCACAATGCCATCACATCCTTCGCCGTCTGGAACTTCCTGCCCAGTTATCTAAACGAAGTTCGTCTGGCGGCGAATCCCTGGACCTGCAACTGCGAGTTCATCGATAAGTTCAGGGACTACGTGAACCGCCATGAGTACGTGGTGGATAAGCTGAAGATGAAGTGCGATGTGATTAGTGGAAACGGCACCCAGCAGATGGTCATATTCCCGGGATCCGGAGAGGCCGGCTCCCTGCCCGTGGTGCAGTGCAGTCAGACCTTGCCCTTGGGTCTGGATAACAACTTCAACTACGCGGAGCAGGCGGGTGGCGAGAACGCCTCAAATGCCACCTCCACGAAAATGATCCTCAACCAGCCGCCCAAACTGGACTACATACCCATCCTGGTGGCCATCCTGACAGCCTTTATTTTCGTGATGATCTGCACCTCGCTGGTGTTCATCTTCCGCCAGGAGATGCGCGTGTGGTGCCACTCGAGATTCGGAGTGAGGCTCTTCTACAACGCCCAGAAGGATGTGGACAAGAACGAGCGGGAGAAGCTATTCGACGCCTTCGTTTCGTACTCCTCCAAGGATGAGCTGTTCGTCAACGAGGAGCTGGCTCCCATGCTGGAGATGGGTGAGCACCGCTACAAGCTCTGCCTGCACCAGCGGGACTTCCCCGTGGGCGGCTACCTGCCGGAGACCATTGTCCAGGCCATCGACAGCAGCCGGAGGACTATAATGGTGGTCAGCGAGAACTTCATCAAGTCGGAGTGGTGCAGGTTCGAGTTCAAGTCCGCCCATCAGTCGGTGCTGCGCGATCGTCGCCGGCGATTGATAGTCATCGTGCTGGGCGAGGTGCCCCAGAAGGAACTCGATCCCGATCTACGACTGTATCTGAAGACCAACACGTATCTGCAGTGGGGCGACAAGTTGTTCTGGCAGAAGCTGCGCTTCGCCCTACCGGATGTCTCCTCCTCGCAGCGTTCCAATGTTCCCGGCCAGAGTTGCCATGTGCCCATCAACCATGCCGCTTACCACCACCACCACCATGTCCACCAGCAGGCAATGCCGCTGCCCCACTCGGTGCACCACCACCAGCAGCAGTTCATGTTGCCACCGCCGCCCCAGCAGCCCGGCAGCTTCCGCCGGCAACCGTCCTTGCAGCAGCAGCAACATCAGCAGCAGCAACTGCAACAGCAGCAGCAGCAACTGCGCGGCAGCAACAGCGCCACGCAGCAGCAGCAGCAACAGCAGGCGGCCTTGCTGATGGGCGGTGGGTCGGTGGGTGGGCCTGCGCCGCAGATGATCCCCCTGGCGGGTGGCATCCAGCAGCAGAGCCTCCCATTGCCCCCCACCCAGCAGCCGACGCCGGCGTCTAGGAATCTGCACATGTGAGTGGGGTTACCAAGTGGTAAGAGGGTTAAAGGCGAGGACGGAAGAGCTGGAGAGGTGTTACGAGATCAGTTCCTAACTCTATTAACAACTTCTCAAGGAAAATGGATTAAAAATCCAGCATCCCTTTATCAGAAACAGAACTCCCTGAGAATATCAATTTTTACGATGACCATTACATTCTTTGCCCGTCAGAGAGACCCATTAAAAAGGGAAATAGCACAAACCAGACCATTCCTACGATCTTGTTCGGTTATGAAAGGTGATCTAGAACATTTGCGGGTCGAAAAAGTACTTACCCTCGCGAAAAACAAGTTTAACTTCCTCGGGTTTCAAAATGCGCACAGAAAAAGGGGAATTGCATTCAATATGCAAATGCAAGCGTTTAGCGATAAAAGCCTAGTTACATGTTAAAATAGCAAAAGTAAAAGAAAAATCGAGTGGGGCAAGAAACAGGCAGCACCAGGAACAATAACAACAACAAGAGAAAAAGACAACAGTAAAATAGCTGGCGAGCCAGGCAATTGTTGTTTGTTGGCCCTGTTCTGTTTTCTTACGGCCAGCTATTTTCAGTTTCCTGGCTCGCAGCTAGATTCTGAAAATTGATGTTGCATGCAACACACCAAGAGCAACTAGCAACTCGGAACTACACAGGGAAAATATAGGGTTTTTAAAGAGGTCTAATTATTACTTTTCAATTTTAAACGAACTTAAAGATTAAAGAGGATTAAAGTTAAAGATCCATATAGGAGGCTCTTGATAGTAAATATAGAACAAATTAAATTTATCTATACAGATACATTGAAAAAATTTTAAATACCCTCAAATACTCATTAAATATTAAAATTTTTAATGTATTTTTTTAGAGACCTTTTATCAGTTCTTAAATTGCAATACTTATTTTCGGTGTAGATCCAACACCAACCAGTCAGTCAGCCACAAAAAGGCAGCAGGCCCAAAAGTATTTCTCTTGGCTTTATTTTCTTTTCCTCCTTCTTCTCCTTTATTTTGTCGTTTTCCAGCATTTTTTCGTTCGTTTTTCCTCGTTTTCCCCGTTTGCAACGCTCAGTCGTTAGTTCATCTTAACTGCTGCATTTTGCTATAACAAGCTCGACGTGTGTAGAAGATACACCCGTGTATCTGTATCTGCAGCAGCTGTAGTCGAATGGGTATTCGTATCCGTGTATCTGTGAATGTGACTGCGCGGGTTGGGAAAAATAGGCAAAGGCAAAACATCACAGAGCTCATGTCTGGCCAAAAGGAAAATGGTAACAAAAAGCAGACCTTAGACGTTAGAAAACCGAAAACCCAGACCGTCTGCAGACGGTTGTTGAGCTGGTTGGGTTGAAATTGGTTTTGGTTTTTGTTACTTCGTTCTCCTTTCGAGCCACAATTACATGTGCTAATCAATGGCAGAAAAATAGATAGCAGGGTAACAATTGTGTGAGAAGGGAAACAATTGTAGGGGACTTAGCTTTGATAAAACGGACTTACATCCAACAATTAATGCCAGTTAATTGTATCCCAGCATAGGAGGAGAATTCTCTTATAATAGAGCGATAGACGCCCTTCTGCAGATCACGCTATGCCCAGATTTGATTAAAAAACAAAGCTTTCTTTTTCCCCAGCTAGTCAGAGATTAGGGAGAAGTAGTCAGAATTTCCCAGAGTGAAACTTCCAACTGTGACCTTGCTGCAGAAGAGAAAAAGATACAAGTTTACCCAGCAGCCATTGAGAATCATGGAAGGGAGATCAGCACGTGTGTGTTCGGGGTTCTTGGCCCCCAAAGTTGTGTTTTGGCCAAAATCGACAAGGCCAGAAAAGGAGGAACACGAGAACAGAGCCGTACAGATTAGTTTGGTTTTGGCGATTAAAATCTACCTGGTTGTGTGCTACGCCCTCTCCATTTCCACCTCTATCTCGAACCATCTCCAGCTCCGCCGACTTGCCAATTTAAAAATGCATTCCAAAAGCACGAAACCAGAAACTAGTTAACAAAATAAACACACTCTCTAGAAGGATTCGCTTGGTCTAGACCGTAGAGTTAAATGTAAATAAGCTAAATGTTAATTGTAATCATTGTTTAATCATTGTGATATTTTGTTTTAGCACTAAGCCCTAATTTATTAAGATGCGTACCATTTTCCTACCAACCTATGTTTAGACGTAAACTTATCCTCATTAGTTAGTCTAGTTCGTAAGTTAATAAATCGAATCCGAATCCACAACACCCCGCCTACGAGATACAGCCATATTAATTCTATGAAAATTATTGTAAATAAAAACAACTGAACATGGACTGTATGCACTAAAATGAAAGAAAAACGAATTATGCGACACGAATCAAACAAATTGAAAACATAAATCGACTGATTACATGTGTACTATATATAAATATGCATAACATTAAACTATGATTTACTCGACGCTCGTTGTAAATATTGTAACTACCCGCACACCTATGAATATGTATTGTATTTTGTAACTTTATGTTTTCTAGTTTATAGCGAAAAAATGAAAAGAAAAACGAATCACAAAAATATATAAATGACAAAAAATTGATAATCCAAAAACTGTCTCTATTTTTTATTCACTCTATCTGCCAGCTGAAATTGTATTATTATTTTTTGGTCTGCCGCTGATAAGCCATAAACCATCTCGCCTTGACATTTGATATGGATTCTTGATACGGAATCCACGTTGGATGCGGATTCCAATGCCAGCAGTCGTGTTGCGATGGGGTTTGGCTTTGCCTCTGGTTTTGTTTATGTCAGAGCGGTGTTCTATTACAACCGACAAAAAAATTTGCAAGATAAACACTAAAAGAGCTTGACCATTCCATGACTGATGGGAGAAAGGCCGCGGGGAGGGGAAAGATTTGTGGTAAGAGGTTGGGCTAAAAACTTTTCGGCGACGGATGATGAACTTGCTAAAATGACGGCGAAAAGATTATTTTCGATTCCGCTTTTCACAAATATTTTAAAATATTTTTTCAGTGACCTGGATTTTTAACATTTTATGTTTACGCTTGCTAGGTGACCTCTGAAACTTATACAGGGACGCAAAAAATAAAGTCAATTGCATTTTGATTCGCTTTAAATTTGTTGTCAAATTTCAACTTAGGTATACCTATCATAACACTTATTTTACAAAATTTAATTTGGGTTTGAAGCTTTTTAAAAATACTTCGCAAAAAAGTAAAAAAAACTTTTTAATATTATGATATTAGTAAACCCTAAAAAACTATACGGTACTAAACTTCATTCAGTATAAAGACATCAATGTTCTTAAATACATTTCTGAAGTACAGAGTTTTTGATTTAAGCGTAGAAACATTACGTCTAATAAATGTATACTTTTAACCATACAAGCATTTTCAAGTATATTAATTCTACCGGCATTTTTAATTAAATTTCACAATAGTCAACAGTTTCTCAGAACTCCTTACGCCAACCTCGCCACACGCATCCACAAACTCATCGAACAACACATCCCACGATTGCTCCATTTGAATTAATTTTAAAGAGAAAACCCCTCCGCCAGCGCCTTGGAATTTATGCTTGCCAAAGATGCGACGATATTATCTTCCCATGCATATTTTAAAGATATCTATATGGCAGTCGTATCTCATCTGCGGAATTATTGGCTATCGTGTGTTTATACTTGCTGCTCACTGCCTTTATTTGAGTCAATGAGCCCACAGCGAAATATTTTGCCGATTCCGCTGGCTGCCTGGAAACGAGTTCTCTCCCAGCTCCCGATGAATGAATAATTTTTATGATCAATTAAATGCGCAATAAAATTGATGGGGCCCCCACCGCCGAAACATAAATTCACATTGCTTAAATTAGCGAATTTTACAATCAATCATTAGCGGGCCAGTGGATCGACAAACGGCCTTTGATGTGCAACTTTAGAACTCGGATGCGGGGGAAATGTTCCATGGGATCTAGAGTGTGGTATCTGCCGGATACACATATGTCTGCGGCCTAACCATTCGGCGGATAAGTTCGAGTCCGGGCTAAACCCTTTTCAATATTTTCATTTCCCTCATCGCTCGATTCGGTGCGGTTCGTTTCGGGGCGAAACAGAAAACGAAAACCTAGAAAACTTTGCAAAAAAACACGTCAAATATTAAAAACTTTTCTTTGCTTTTACTTTCTCCGAACCCGCTGGCATATATATACACATGCCACCCATCCACATCCACGTCCACATATCTCTCCCCTTTTTCCTTTATTTTATCAATTTTGCCTGTGGGATTTGTTACAAAGTAACGGATGAGTTGAAGTGGGAAAAGGGGCAGGAGTGCAGACACCGCCAATCCAAGAGGCAAACTTTCAATTGAATTTTTTTGTTCACGTTGTTTCCTTTCGGGTAAGGAAAGTTTAGAGGCCCGCTTTTGGGGTCGGGGCTTCCTTGTTTCGGGGCCTTACTGCGACGCGGGGTCTTTGGGGGTTCCGTCTGTCATTTGGCATACGCAGCAAAAAGAAGTCGACGTAAATATTTCGGTTTACAAGTCAGTTTAGTGTCAAAAGAGATGCCTTTTATTTATAGATTGCCCTCGCAGAACTTGGGCTTGAACTTGGCTACGAGCAGGGGTGTATTCTACCTTTAAGAGAAGGTAATAATGGATTAAATACATATTATGTATTTTCGAGAAAATTCACAATTTTGTTAAGAATATCTCTGACAAATATAAATGCATAAGACAGCAAATAAAAATATTTAAGACATTAATGATATGATAGTCTTTAAAAAAGATCGTTTAATTATTTGTACTACTAAAACATTTATTGAGAAGTATTTTAATTTTGTTTGTTCCCCATCTCTAAGACCCCTTTTTGGGTCACGCAACCGCTCCTGTGACTCCATTTTCGACACAGGTTTGCTTCTTGGCCGTAACCTCCATCAAAAATTTCCCCGACTGCAGTTTAGAAGTTTTTATTCGCTCTCGCATTTTCGGACGTTTTTTCTTGCCTTTTTCGGGGCCCAAAGTCAAATCAAAGTGCTTGGCCCCGCTAAAGCTTAGTGCTAATGCCGGAGCCATCAGTCTGAACTTTTGGGCCATCTATCAAAGGCTGAAAGGGAAAGGGCCAGAAAGGAAAAATCGAAGAGGCAATGGCAATGGCAATCTCATTAGAAGGCTGCTGCCTCATCACCACATTCCGCATATGCGAAGGCAGAAATACTTTCCCATGTGCATCCGCCGAAGACCCGTAGCCGTCAATTAGGTAGCCACCCAATCATTGCACCCACCACTTGGCTCATTAGACTCCAAACGAATCGGGAGTCGTAAAACTCGGGTCCCCGGTCTTTCGGCTCCCTTTCTGGTCCCCGACCTCCGTCCGTTCCGCGGCTATGTAAAAATAAATATGCTTTTATTGGAAGACGACTACAACTGTTTGCAATAAAAGCAACATTTTTCTTAATTTCCATTTCTTGCTAATTTACCAGCCATAAATTGCCCGCCCGTCTACCCTGTGGGCAGTGAAGTAACCAGTGGCGGCGGGTCGGGACGGGACGGGGACAGGGGCGTGGAAGGCAGAGGGGTTACCGAAACAAGCGGAGCTGAACCAACCGATTCGACGGTAGACACATAAAATTGACTACAAATTATTGCACATTGTCAAAACAACATTGGTTTGCAATTTTCGCGCTTCAACGCAGATGCAAAGAGATAGTCGCTGGCGATTTGGGAGGGGGTCCTGAGGGGTATTGCAGAAGTAATGCCGACTCGTAGAGGGATAGACGACAGGCAGGGGGGATGGAAGAGAGTGAGAGGTATAAAACAATCAGGTAGGGGAGTTCGGTATGTGGAAATACTCTCCGAACTAGGGGCATATTTTACTCGCTGCTAATGCTGTGCATTTTTTAGAAAACCACATTTGTTCCAGGAATTTATAAACCATATATTTTATGGTGTGTAATTGATCGCATTTCGTAATTGTGAATTACTACGGCACCTTTTTTTTTTATTTGCAGGAAAGAAATGTATATAGAATTATAAGAAAATGTTTTAGCCGAACAATACTTTGAATATTTAAGATAGTTATATGATAATAAAATTCTGAAATATTAATATACAATGTATTAATGTATAATACAGGTAAGCAAGTTATCAAATATTGTACTAAATATAGTATTTGATATTTACAATTTTCTTGTTTTGAACAAATTTATGCTGGCTATAAAGGAAATATTAACAGATCCTAAATAAAATCATATTGCATATCCATAGGATATTCCCCGATCGGTACAACCCTTTCAATCTCACCGTTTTTTTACAGTTATCTACGATAATTTGCACTGCAAACGGTCATATGCAACTGTGAAATGGCAAATGGAAAATGGGTTTAGGTTTATTGCCGACGACCAAGCCCGTCATCATCATCATCGACCGCATCGAAAACCGAAAGAGAATCGAGCGGGGCAAATCGGGCGGGATGGAATTGGAAGGTTCGGATATATATGCGACGGAGTGGAGACATTGACATATTGCCGGCCGATTAATGAGCCCACAAGAGCGGCCCTGGACCTGAGCAGTGCTGATTGTTTTCATTGAAATAAATGACAGACACCGGCCTGTTGACACACGCGTTGAGGGAATATTTGATACCCTGCATAAATAATAATCATTTTCACTTCGCCCCAAAGTTCCAGGCCCTCGAACGCTGACTCCGCATAAAAGCAAATTTGTATGCAGTTTATCTTATCGCGATCACGTTGCATCTGGGGACGATGCTGCGGGGAAATGGAGGGGAAGTCGCCGAAGACGCGTAAGTTTCACGTATTTTCATGCACGATTAAAGCCTTAATTTCGACCGAACGGAGAGCGGGATGTATACCCGTGTGCACATATATAGGGAGCGAGAGAGATGTACCAGGTATCTGCAGCTCCTAATTAATGGTTTTGCATCGGCTGCTTATCGCACCGCACGCATCGGGATCATCTTCGTCCTGGTCATCGAAAGAGGCAGGGGAATCTCCTGAGCACCATCAGTGCACTTGTGAAAAAGGTTCCACTAAACTTAGAAAGTTTGGAAAACAGATCATAAGCTCTATTCTAACTTAAGTCTAGAGGTATAGAAAATCATTTATATACCTTGCAAACTGAAGTATTTAGGATTATAAGGAATATATGTAGTTGAGAATCTCATATCTCCACAGTTATTTATTTCTGCGGTATACCCAAATAAAAAACGTATTACTAGATATCGAGAATACAAGCCATATTTGAATAAAACGATTTATAACCTTTTTAAATATTCTTCAACGGGCTTTAAGATGGTTCAATATGTTCTTCATAATTAATTTCTGTTCTTAATGATTTATTTGTATTTTTAAATATTTCCTGACCTGATGATGAATTTACTCTTAATTTAAGATCTTCTTTTCCTTTCATCGCTATTTCTTTATGCAAATA